AATCTCACTGTTGTCTTTATTTGCATCTCTTAAATGACCAGTGATGCTGCACATTTTTTCATATTTTTCTTTGCTGCTTTTACTTCTTTGTCTGAGAAATGTCTGCTCCTTTTAGATGCCCATTTTTTAATTGGGTCTTTTTATTTGGGGGGGTCTGATTTTTTGAGTTCTTTATATATTCTAGATAGTAGTCCTTTGTCTGAGGAATAGCTGGTCACATTTTTTCCTACATTGTAGGTTGTCTCTTAACTCTATTTGTGTTTTCTCTTGGACTGCAAATATTTTTTAATATAATGAGATCTGAGTTGTTTATTCTTTGTTGCAGTTCTTGTGCTGCTGAGGATTTCTTCATAAAGTCTTCTCCTATGCCAATGTCTTTGAGAGTTCTACCTAATTTACTTTCCAGTAAGTTTATTGTTTCTATTTTGATATTTAGGTCTTTAATCCACTTGGATTTTAGTTTAGTGCATGGTGAAAGATAGGGATCTAGTTTTAATCTTTGTCAAGATGAAAACCATTTTCTCCAACACCATTTATTAAAGAGGCTGTCTTTCATCCAGTGAGGATGGTTGGCTCCTTGTTGAGGATGAGGTAGCTGAGTATGTTTGAAGTTGTTTTTGCATTTTCTTTGAGAAGTTTTCAAAGTTTGCATCTTCTTTATCTTCTTTGTGAAGTTTGTGAAGTTCTTGTGGCTTCTTAGGCTATTGATCTCCTTTTAATTGCACTATGATCTGACAATACACAAGAGATAAATTCAATTGCTTTGCATTTACTTAAGCATGTTCTATGAGCTAGCATGTGGTCTATTTTGGAGAATGACCTGTGTGAGAATGTATATCTTGATTTTTGTGGGGTGGAACACTGTAGACATCTACTAAGTCAGTTTGCTCTAAGACATGGTTCAGTTCTGTTATTTCATTGTTGATTTTTTTGTCTAGATGATCTGTCCATTTATGTCAGTGGAATATTGAGGTCCCCCATTACAATGGTATTAGTGCTTATTTTATTTTTCATATCCATTGATATTTGTTTTGTATACTTGGGGGAAATTAATATTCAGTGCATATAAATTTATGATTGTCATCTCCTCCTCTTGTATTGTTCCCTTTACAAAGATGTAGTGGCCTTCTTTGTCTCTCTTAATTAATTTTGTTTTGAAATCTATTCTGTTTTGCAATTAAGACAGCTACCCCTACTTTTTTATGGGCTCCTGTCACATGGAGAACAGTTTTCTATTCTTTTACTGTCAGTCTATGAGTTTCTTTATTGATTAAGTAGGTTTCTTCTATACAACATATTGTTGGATTTTGCATCATAATACATTCTGCCAGCCTGCTTCTTTTGATTGGTGAATTGAGGCCATTGACATTGATGGTTGTAGCTGCTATGTATTAGCGTTTAGTTGTCATGTTATTTTCATGTTATTGGTTCTGTTCTTTTGTATTTTTTCCTCTCTGTCTTTAATTTCTTGCCTTGCCATGTATATTTGCTCTGTTGGCCCTTATGGAGTCGTGGTCTTCATTTTCTTTTTCTAGGATATTGTTTAGAAGTTATTAGTGTACTGGTTTGGTGTTCATGAAATTTCTCAGATATTCTTTGTTGTGGAAGTATATTACTTCCCCATCAATTCTGAAAGATAGTTGTGCAGGATACAACAGTCTAGGTTGGAGGTTGTTTTCTTTCAGGACTTGAAATACTTCACTCCAAGTTCTCCTTGACTTGAGAGTTTGTACTGAAAAGTCTGCTGTGATTTTGATGGGGTTTCTTTTGCATGTGATTTCTTTCTTTTCTATAGCTTCTTAGCATTTTGTTCTTCCATTGGGTTTCCAGGGTCTTAATTATTACATGTCAAAGTGTAGATGTTTTTGATCATGGCTAGTTGGAGTTCTATATGCCTCGCTTGTCTGTATGTCAAATTCTTCCCCTCTCCTTGGGAAGTTTTCTGTCATGAATTCTGTGAACAGTGTGTGTGTGTGTGCATGCCATTTGTACTTTCTCCTGCTACTTCATGAATTCCTATCAGTCTTATATTATTTTTCCTTTGTTTCATCTAATAGCTAATGGATTGATATATCATGATCCCTTACCTTTTTTTTTTTCCTTTTTTCTCTCGTTGAGTTTATTGGTACATTTTAGGTGTACAGTGCAGTTGCATTCATTATTGGGATCTTGTACCTCTACTGACAGGTCTTGGTTCTCATTTTTTCCCCTTGTCCCTGCCCTCCCTTCAGCCTCCCCTTCCCTCTCCATTTACAAACATTTTATTTCCATTTTTCATTTACTCATATATTTTTTCCCTATTACCTTTCCCCTACCCATCCCACTTTCCCTACACCTTTAACCCTTTTCTTCCTATTTCACATTGTCCATTATATCATTAGGATCTTATGTACTATTATAGTTTATTCATACCAGAGAAACTATTCGGTATTTACACATGTGTGACTTACTTATTTCACTTAGGAGTATGTCCTCAATATGCATCCATTTTCCTGTGAATAAATCTAATTTCTCATTCTTTGTGGTCCTTACTGTTTTTAAGAGATCTCTCTTTTCATGGTCACTGACTGCAATCTTATCTTCTATATCTGAATTCTATCTTCACTTTCAATTCATCCTGTTGTGAATGCTTTCTATAGAGTTTTTTTTTTTTTCTTTT